TTTTTCAATATTCCAAAATAAGGGGACTGTGGTGTTGAATCTTGCCCGACAAAATATTGTGAGATATACACGTCATCAAGTACCATTAGAGGAACACATTTATAAAAAAACCTGCCATCCACGTGTATCTCGAGGAAGTTAATTCCTGCCCCACTAATTTATTGTGAGATATACACATTATAAAGTACCAACAGAGAAACACATTCATGAAAAAAACATTCATCCACGTGTATTTTGAGAAAGTTATGATTTTTTTCGAAATTTCAAAAATGGGGGCCTGTGGGGTTACGTCTTTCGCGAAAAAATATTCTGAGATATACACATTATCGAGTACCATCAGAGGATCACATTCATAGAAAAAAAAAATCCCATTCACGTGTATTTTGGAAAACTTACGACTGTCTTTCAAATTAAAAAAAGAACCTGTGGGGTTCATTCTTGACCGACATAATATTAAGAGATAAACAGATTATCGAGGACCCTCAGGGAAATGAATTGATGCAAACTAGTTCCATCCTGCCCAACAACTACAGGCCCATTGCCCTGTTATCAGTTTTCTCCAAAGTGATGGAGAAAGCCATCAATATTGAGCTTATCAAATATCTGGAGAGCTCAGGAATCATCAATGATAGACAATACGGCTTTCGCCACCGAAGATCTACTGGAGATCTGCTTGCCTACGTCACCCATTTACGGCAAGCTTCATTAGAAAAACACGGGGAATCTTTAGCTATCACGTTGGACATATCGAAAGCATTCGACTGTGTTTGGTACGAAGGACTCCCCCACACACTACCATCATACGGCTTACCACCTCAGCTATGCCATCTCATATCGAGTTTTCTTTCGGGCAGATTGCTTCACGTGGTGGTGGACAGTGTATCATCTAATACCATTGGCATTCCACAAGGATCAATTGTGGCACCAACATTATTCCTTCTTCATATCAATGATGATAGTACCCTCCATACTGCGTTCTCTTCCAGAATTACCATTTCTTCCCAGGAAACTAAGAACTCACGGCGCAAGCAGGTCAATGCTGTCAATGGAGACCTTGCTGAAATCACAGCCTTGGGAACCAACAACCTAGTTGAATTCAACGCCACCAAAACTCAAGTCTGTATTTTCTCTAGAAAGGCAAAACTCGGTATGCCCGATATTGTGATGTCTGGCACCCCCATCCCCACCAAGCCCACCATATCTATGCTCGGTATTTCCATCAGCAACACTCTTTCATGGGATAATCATGTCAGATCCATCGCAAAAGCTGCTTCACAAAAACTCGGATTCTTGTTCCGTGCGAAAAGCTACTTTACACCTCAACAGATGCTCATGATCTACAAAGCGCAGATACGGCCTGTTCTTGAATAATGTTCCCACAAATGGGGTTCAGCACCAAAACATACGCTGATGCTCTTAGATTCCATCCAGAGAAGAGCCATTCGCCTGGTGGGTGACGCCACACTCACTCACTCTTTGACATCATTGGAATACCGTAGAAAGGTCGGTGACCTCTCACTTTTTTATCAATACTTCCGCGGGAAATGTTCTTCGGAAATTTCTGCTATCATCCCTTCACTAGCAATACCAGTCAGACGAACTAGACAAGCCCAGTCAGCACATCCTTTCGTTTTCAACCTCGAAAGATGTCGAACAGCACTTTATCAAAACTCCTTCATCCATAGAACGGCTAGGCTCTGGAATTTATTGCCTGAGGAAGTTTTCCCAACAACATATAATCTCCAGAAGTTCAAGAAAAATTCCAATACCTACCTCCTGTCCCTATATCCTACCTAGGAACGCACGAAGTTTTTTGAACATTATAGGGATTTCCTTTCATGCGCTCCAAGCGATAAAGAAAAAAAAAATGGCCAGGCACGAATTTAGTAATTAACGACCATTGGTGGTATGAAGCGCGCATGGAATAGTTGGTGAAGTCGTTGCTGGAACTCGTAGCTGGTTTCACACTTATAAAACTTATCTGAGAAATCATTCGACTGATGATCGTACAAGTTTGGCCCTTATGAGTATTCATCGTAATATTCAAATCGTTAGGTAACTATAAATGAAACGAATTGTGAGCAGACTATATAAGAATAATTTTATATCAATGTAACATGTAACGAATATTCGCGAATTTAGCTTCACTTTGTTGAGTAACGTATATATTCATGTTTTTTTTTTCACAGAACAAGAATCTAAATATATTTTTTTTTAATTCTCGCATATGAGTTTGCTTCTGTATATAGCATTGTTGCCTCATTATGACATCTTAGAGATGTCATGCCGCAGATGTGTTTGCTTCTGTATATCGCAGCGATGGAACATTCGTAATATGACAATGTTGCCTCATCGCGACATCTCAGAAATATCATGTGGCAGTGGCATCGCAGTGATGTAACGTATGTGATATCGCACTGTTACTCAAACATAAGTGTCAAGAAAATAAGGGCAATTGCAAATGCGTCAGAACATTCTTTGAAAAATCGAAGAAAGTGACGAAATTCAATAAGATTGAATTTAAACTAAATGTTTGTCCATTTCTTAGTAGCTACACATGGTTCTCTATTCAAGTTCTGATTCTGTAATCATATAATTATGTTGTTTCGATAAATTTTTGTTCAAACAGATAGATAGATGGATAGATTGCTTCATTCGAAGAAACAAAGAAACAGGAAGTATGATAATCAAAATAGATCAATTTTTTAACAGAAGCAGAGGACTATGACCATTGCGCTTCAAATTCAGTCTAATAAATCAAATTGTTTATTTATAATTAGGTATTTGGTAGAACATTAACTCATTCCAAATCAGATAGGAATATTCCGAGTTGATAAGAATTGGAATTGCAGATGATTCGAATTCAACTATACATCAGTCTCATACTCGGTCTCATATCTCCATGTCACTGTTTTTCTCACCGTAAATAACGAATGTTTAGTGTGAAACAATCAATAGTTAATCGATTGAACTGTGACCTTTCAACGAACTAGCGTGTTATTGTTCAAGAAAGAACGCTCCGGTAGGTATAATAACACCCAAATTGTTTGTTCCAGGACCATCTTTGATAATCATGGTTTGTAATAATATATGATAGTCAGACTCAATCAACTTTGACTAAGTACCATAGTTTTTGAAGTTTTGAAGTTGACAGCATAGGCAGTAGGCCATACCTAGCTATTTAATGTTTTAAGTTGATTTCAATACATCAGTAAATTTTTGTGGAAAAGTTGATAGTACGCCTACCTGATTAAGTAGGCACCTATAATTACCATGTTCTTTCGTACACCCAAACTACAATAAATAAAAAGCAGAAAAAAAAAACTTCGAAAAAAAGCTTTCATTTGAACGCTCTAAAAAGAAGAAAATAAAAGGTTCCATATCAATTTCAACTACCAACTTATATACGCATTATACACAATTCATATCATCATAAAAAGCTTGTAGCGATGATCAATATTTAATCAAATTGATATTTCAATAATTTGAACTTAGCGATTTAATTCTGTATATGAACTAGTACTAATTTAACTATGTAAAATCTGCTTAGTTGAAATCTTTCAAATTTCTATTTAATTTAGATCATCGCAACAAACTTTCATGATCATATAAATTGTGTATAATGAGGTTGATATAGTTGATAGTTCAAATTCAGAAGGAAAATTTTATTTTGTTATTCTTAGAGCGTTCAAGCTTTTTTTTACTTTCAATTCATTTCTTACTTTTTAGTTATCGCTGGCTTTGTGCCAGTCGAGTTTGATTTTGGAGTTGTCGTTCTCCTAGACAGATTTCAGACCAATGCTGATGACGCCTATCTTGCCAAATTACACAAGTTAATCAATCGATGTTACAGGCTCAAAAATGAATATTTATACCTGCATTTTTATTCCCAGCAAACCCTTTCATTTTATAGGAAAGCACAAAAAACCCCAATAGTGATGCCACATTATTTCTAATTATTCTTGGCAAGCCCTTTCATTTGAAACCCTTATTGCAGAAGTGCATAAATAATAACTATTCCGTCATCTTGTATTTAAAAATTCAGAAGATTTTGTTTTCAAATTATTATCGTGTGTGTTCAATAGATATAATTCAATGTTCGTCGTGGCATATAGCCAGGAAAGTAGTTGTTTTCAGTTGAATAAACCGAGAAAGAATTTATATTTTCATCACGTAGAGAATGCGAATTGTCAATGCATTTCTTTATATATATATATATCTATTTTTTGTGTTCACAATTATTATATCTCAGAATATTCCTTTCCAATACTATGTATTTGTAAAAATAATGTATTTCTGTTGCAATAATATGTTCCTTAATTTGATTACAATAAAGCATAGTTTTGGTGGAGTAAACTGTAAGAATATTGTCCTGTCCTATAGCGTTATTTTTTCTGATATTTTCTGGCCAAGTCATTTATGTAGAGTGAAAAAAGTGTTGGTCCAAGTATAGACCCGATGAGACACACCACATTCTAAAGTCGACTCATCGGAGAATGTTACCGTTTTCACAATTTGGCTTCGACCTGATAGATATGACTCTATCCATTTCTGAGAGACACTCTTGAATCCATAGTGGAATAGCTCTTGCAACAGTATTCCGTGCTTCACACAGTCTAACGCCTTAGATAAGTCAGAGAATACTGCCGCAGTAACTTCACCCCGATTTATCTCTGTGTACACGTCAAACAAAGAAGAAAAAATTGCATTATTTGTATTGCATAAGTATGCCGATAATCTGATCTCAACTAATCTCTCAATGATTTTCGTTAATGTAAAAATAAGAGAGATGTCTGTGAGTAGTTTGATGGATTATCAAGGTCATCACCTCTATGCAGAGGAATAACTACAGATATTTTCAGGAAATCGGGAAATGTACCATCTTATAAAGTGTTGTTATTTATTTCAAACTGAACTTATTTATGATGGTTACTTAATATTCGATAATTTGAATTACGCATTGCCTAACTGGTTCCCTAATCAATAGATTTTCTTTACAGTTCGTGTGAAAAATGGTGATATCGAACAGAGATTCCCCAGAGGCTACCGCAGCCACAACCATTCAAGAAACCGAAACCGACTGCCGATACGACGGCGAGACAGCCGAATGCGAAAACCTGGTCGACCGATTAGACGAAGACGAGGATTCCTCCAGAGCTTCCCCCACTGCTGCCGAGGTGGTCATCCCCCCAGACGGCGGATGGGGGTGGATGGTGGTGTTCGGCTCCTTCATGTGCAACCTGGTGGTCGATGGCGTCATATTCTCCTTCGGTACCATGATAGAGCCGATTGCCGAGGAATTCGAGGTGACCAACCCCAATGTTTCGCTGGTGGGGTCTCTGATGTCCGGGTTCTACCTGATAGCGGGACCGTTCGTTAGCGCCATTGCCAATCGGTACGGGTTCAGAGTGGTTACCGTGGTCGGGGCTGTTTTGGCTGCCATCGGATTCGTCTTGTCGAACTTTGCTACCAGCGTACCGTTTCTGTGTTTCACTTATGGAGTTCTTGGAGGTAATTACATTGTTATATTGAAAAATACCAAATTTTTACGCCAATTTAGCAGGCGATGTTTTGATGAATGCAAAATTCAGGGCGATGTTTTGATGAATGCAAAATTCAGGGCGATGTTTTGATGAATGCAGGATTCAGCCGATATTACAGAAGGTCACAATATCTGCTGATATAAAACTAAATAAGTGCATTATAGATGCCAGTTTTTTCATTCGAATGAATTGAAATGATGTCACATCTGTCTCAATAACTCTATAGATATTGAATGTTCCTCTAGTAGGGTCTCTGATGTCTCGATGTCTGGATTTTATCTGATAGCGGGACTGTTCGTAAGTGCCATAGCCAATCGGTACGGGTTCAGAGTGGTTCCTGTGGGGCTGTTTTGGCTGATATCGGGTTCGTCTTGTCGAACTTCACTACCAGCGTACCGTATCTGTGTTTCACCTATAGAGTTCTAGGAGGTAATAACATTGTTTTATTGGAGAATACCAAATTTTTTACGGCAATTTAGAAGGCTGAGTTTTGATAAAAGCAGAATTCAGTTGATATTTCAGAAGATCTCAATATCTGCTGATATAAAACTACATAGTTGCATTGAAGATGCTAGCTTTTTTATTTGAAAGGATTGAACTGATGTCACATTTGTCTCAATAACTCAATAGATGTTGAATGTTCCGCTAGTAGAGTCTCTGATGTCTGGGTTCTATATGATAGCGGGATCGTTCGTTAGCGCCATAGCCAATCGGTACGGGTTCATAGTGGTTACCGTGGTCGGGGCTGTTTCGGCTGCTATCGGGTTCGTCTTGTCAAAACTTTGCTACCAGCGTACCGTTTCTGTGTTTCACCTATGGAGTTCTTGGAGGTAATTACATTGTTGTTTCGAAAAATAACAAATTTTTACGACAATTTAGCAGGCAAAGTTTTGATGAATGCAGAATTCAGCCGATATTACAGAAGGTCACAATATCTGCTGATATAAAACTAAATGAGTGCATTGAAGATGCCAGTTTTTTCATTCGAATGAATTGAAATGATATTACATCTGTCTCAATAACTCTATGGATATTGAATGTTCCTCTAGTAGGGTCTCTGATGTCTGGCTTTTATCTGATAGCGGGACTGTTCGTTAGCGCCATAGCCAATCGGTACGGGTTCAGAGTGGTTCCTGTGGGGCTGTTTTGGCTGATATCGGGTTCGTCTTGTCGAACTTCGCTACCAGCGTACCGTATCTGTGTTTCACCTATAGAGTTCTAGGAGGTAATAACATTGTTTTATTGGAGAATACCAAATTTTTACGGCAATTTAGAAGGCTGACTTTTGATAAAAGCAGAATTCAGTTGATATTTCAGAAGATTTCAATATCTGCTGATATAAAACTACATAGTTGCATTGAAGATGCTAGCTTTTTTATTTGAAAGGATTGAACTGATGTCACATTTGTCTCAATAACTCAATGGATGTTGAATGTTCCGCTAGTAGCGTCTCTGATGTCTGGGTTCTATATAATAGCGGGATCGTTCGTTAGCGCCATAGCCAATCGGTACGAGTTCAGAGTGGTTACCGTGGTCGGGGCTGTCTTGTCTGCTATCGGGTTCGTCTTATCAAACTTCGCTACCAGCGTATCGTTTCTGTGTTTCACCTATGGAGTTCTAGTAGGTAATTACATTGTTATATTGAAAAATATCAAATATTCACGGCAATTTAGCAGTTGAAAATTTGATAAATGCAGAATTCAGCCGATATTGCAGAAGATATATCTGCTGATATAAAACTACATAGTTGCATTGAAGATGCTATCTTTTTATTCGAGTTTATTGAACTGATGTCACATCTGTCTCAAAACCTCAATAGATGTTGAATGTTTCGCTAGTAGTATCTCTGATGTCTGGGTCATATCTGATAGAGGGATTTTTCGTTAGCGTCATAGCCAATCGATACCGGTTCAGAGTGGTTACTGTGGTCGGGGTTGTTTTTACTGCTATCGCGGGTTCGTCTTGTCGAACTTTGCTACTAGCGTACCGCTTTTGTGCTTCACCTATGGAATTTTTGGGGATGGTTGCATTTCTTATTGAGAAAAACAAAAATTCAATGGTGATTCATCCAGCGAAATATTTGTTATTGCAGAATTTTGCCGACATCCTAACAGATTTCAATATCTTCAAAAATAAGACTACACAGTTGAGCTTCTTCATCTGTCCCAATTACTCAATTTATGTTTACTGTTTTGCTGGCAAGGTCTGATATCTGGGTTCTATCTGACAGCGGTACTTTTAATTAGTGTCATAGCCTAACTATTTTTGGAGGAGTTTTGATTATCATTGGGTTGATCTTACATTGTTTTATGAAAAATACATGTTTACGACAGTTCAGCAGGCGAAGTTCCAATGAATGCAGAAATTCGCCGACATCTGCTGAGATAAAACTATACATAGTTGCATCAAATATGCTAGCTTTTTAATAAATCAATAGTTGTTAAATGTCCCGCTTTGATGTCCGGGTTACCGTGGTCGGGGCAGTATCAGCTGCTATTGGGTTCGTCTTATCGAACTTTGCTACCATCATTCCGTTCTTGTGTTTCACTCACGGAATTCCAGAAGTTATCCACATTGTTATATTAAAGAATACCAAATTCCTACAGCAATCCAGCAGGCGAAGGTTTGATTGATGCAGAATTCCGCTGAAATCACAAAATATGATAATATTTGTTACGATAAAACTACATAGTTGATGGATGCTAGCTTTTTGATTCTGATGGATTGAATTGATGTCACATCTGTCTGAATAAGTCGATAGACAAAATTCTGGTTGATGCAGAACTTCGCCGTACTTCCAATAGATCACAATATCTGCAAAAATATAACAAGATACATATAGTTGAATATAACAAGATACATATAGTTGATAGCTGCTAGCTTCTTCATTCGAATTGATCAAATTGGCACATCTCTTTCTTTGATGTTGACTATTTCGCTTCTGATGTTTGGATTGTATCTGATATCGATAATTTTCGGTAGTACCATAGCCAATCGGTACGGTTTCAGAGTAATTACCGTAATCGGCAGTTTTGGCTATCATCGGATTCATTTTGTTGATAACAGCAACGGAGTTTCAAACTCAATTTTATTTCAATAAAAGTTCCGATATCTCGCAAACCACCAGCTATAGTATGATCCATGATTTACCGGACACCCTAAGTATTATTGGGATTACCTGCACGCAGGCTAGGTAATTCCTCATTTCACACAGTATAGTAAGAGGTAAAAAACATTTGAAAATAGTAAATTGTTGTGGTCTAATAATTGATCATCGAGTGACATTTTCGCGTTTGTTTATTTCTAATGAATCCAAATGATTTTCGACATGTGAAATAATGTAATACAATATATTGAACTAATGATCATATTTCCATTTATGGAAACAAAGACAGAAACTACCAAAAAATCTTGAAATCTTATTGTGAGACCACGCAAAATTAATATTTGTCATGAAAACATATTTTCTCGAATCAACTACAACTAAAACTTTGTTCACTGTATAATTTTCATCCACGATTTTTTCTCTCGCAGGAATCGGCTTCGGCTTCATCTACGCCCCGTCCATCATCACCATCGGCTTCTACTTCGAGAAATGGCGGCAAATTGCGACAGGCATCGCGGTGTGTGGCTCGGGCATCGGCACGTTCGCCTTCGCGCCCATCGGCAAACTGCTCATCACGCACTCCGGTTGGAGGGGGGCGCTGCTGTGTCAGGCGGCTATCACGCTCACTTGCGCCCTCTTCGGCGCTCTATTCAGGTGAATTTTTGTTTGTTCACTTCACTATTATCGATTTATCGATTGAATCATTGATTCATTCCCTTCCAGTTATTTCCGCCTTTTCTTCTTTCCTTCTTTCCTTCTTTCCTTCTTTTCTTCTTTCCTCCTTTCCTCCTTTCCTTCTTTCCTTCTTTCCTTCTTTCCTTCTTTCCTTCTTTCCTTCTTTCCTTCTTTCCTTCTTTCCTTCTTTCCTTCTTTCCTTCTTTCCTTCTTTCCTTCTTTCCTTCTTTCCTTCTTTCCTTCTTTCCTTCTTTCCTTCTTTCCTTCTTTCCTTCTTTCCTTCTTTCCTTCTTTCCTTCTTTCCTTCTTTCCTTCTTTCCTTCTTTCCTTCTTTCCTTCTTTCCTTCTTTCCTTCTTTCCTTCTTTCCTTCTTTCCTTCTTTCCTTCTTTCCTTCTTTCCTTCTTTCCTTCTTTCCTTCTTTCCTTCTTTCCTTCTTTCCTTCTTTCCTTCTTTCCTTCTTTCCTTCTTTCCTTCTTTCCTTCTTTCCTTCTTTCCTTCTTTCCTTCTTTCCTTCTTTCCTTCTTTCCTTCTTTCCTTCTTTCCTTCTTTCCTTCTTTCCTTCTTTCCTTCTTTCCTTCTTTCCTTCTTTCCTTCTTTCCTTCTTTCCTTCTTTCCTTCTTTCCTTCTTTCCTTCTTTCCTTCTCTCCTTCTCTCCTTCTCTCCTTCTCTCCTTCTCTCCTTCTCTCCTTCTCTCCTTCTCTCCTTCTCTCCTTCTCTCCTTCTCTCCTTCTCTCCTTCTCTCCTTCTCTCCTTCTCTCCTTCTCTCCTTCTCTCCTTCTCTCCTTCTCTCCTTCTCTCCTTCTCTCCTTCTCTCCTTCTCTCCTTCTCTCCTTCTCTCCTTCTCTCCTTCTCTCCTTCTCTCCTTCTCTCCTTCTCTCCTTCTCTCCTTCTCTCCTTCTCTCCTTCTCTCCTTCTCTCCTTCTCTCCTTCTCTCCTTCTCTCCTTCTCTCCTTCTCTCCTTCTCTCCTTCTCTCCTTCTCTCCTTCTCTCCTTCTCTCCTTCTCTCCTTCTCTCCTTCTCTCCTTCTCTCCTTCTCTCCTTCTCTCCTTCTCTCCTTCTCTCCTTCTCTCCTTCTCTCCTTCTCTCCTTCTCTCCTTCTCTCCTTCTCTCCTTCTCTCCTTCTCTCCTTCTCTCCTTCTCTCCTTCTCTCCTTCTCTCCTTCTCTCCTTCTCTCCTTCTCTCCTTCTCTCCTTCTCTCCTTCTCTCCTTCTCTCCTTCTCTCCTTCTCTCCTTCTCTCCTTCTCTCCTTCTCTCCTTCTCTCCTTCTCTCCTTCTCTCCTTCTCTCCTTCTCTCCTTCTCTCCTTCTCTCCTTCTCTCCTTCTCTCCTTCTCTCCTTCTCTCCTTCTCTCCTTCTCTCCTTCTCTCCTTCTCTCCTTCTCTCCTTCTCTCCTTCTCTCCTTCTCTCCTTCTCTCCTTCTCTCCTTCTCTCCTTCTCTCCTTCTCTCCTTCTCTCCTTCTCTCCTTCTCTCCTTCTCTCCTTCTCTCCTTCTCTCCTTCTCTCCTTCTCTCCTTCTCTCCTTCTCTCCTTCTCTCCTTCTCTCCTTCTCTCCTTCTCTCCTTCTCTCCTTCTCTCCTTCTCTCCTTCTCTCCTTCTCTCCTTCTCTCCTTCTCTCCTTCTCTCCTTCTCTCCTTCTCTCCTTCTCTCCTTCTCTCCTTCTCTCCTTCTCTCCTTCTCTCCTTCTCTCCTTCTCTCCTTCTCTCCTTCTCTCCTTCTCTCCTTCTCTCCTTCTCTCCTTCTCTCCTTCTCTCCTTCTCTCCTTCTCTCCTTCTCTCCTCCTTTCCTTCTTTCCTTCTTTGAAGTCAAGTCATTGAAAAAAGTCCTATCGTTAAGAGAAACCACATCTCATTCGACCTGATAGGGGTGAGCCATGATATTATAGTTATCCATTTGTGACTTCTTCGAGCAACCAGCTTGTCAAAATATTACTTATACTCCAAAAGAAAATATCATAAATTTTCGCTGGAGACTTGGCAACATGCTATGAATGCTGAGAACTGACAAGACAACGGCTACGATCTTTGGCGTGTTGTCACGTTTTCGTGACCACAAAATGTCCTCTAGGATGAATCAATATGAAAAAAAAAATGGTGATATTACTGCAATTATTGATAAATTGAAATGTCTGTTGAAAATCGTGTTGAATAGGTAGGTAAAATGGTAGTTTAATGAATTGATCTGGCATCAGGATGGCGCGCCACCTCATCAAGTTATGCCCATACGGCATCACTTGAATGATCGTTATCAAATGTGGATCGGAAAATTTGGAACAGTGGAATGGCCGCCGAACAGTCCAGATTTAACACCTTTAGATAACTTTCTATGGGGCTATTTGAAGAATGAAGTGTATAAGGGAAGAAGTGGAAATTTGGCTGAATTGAGAGGAAGAATTTTCGAATGCATTAACATATTGAACAACTTCCTTTGCAATTCGATGAATAAATTTGATGAATACTACAGAAAATGTATACAAAACAACGGTGGTCACATCGAACATCTGTGAAATTGCATCTCCTTCAGTTATAAAAGTGCGTTTTTTTTCTTCCATGGCAGTTGCGATTTGGTAAAATCTAAAATGTTCAACCTTGAATATCTCGAAAACTGCTGAACCAAATATTAATTACCAATATATTTTTGTAATCAGGAAGATGAGATCTTGAATTTTTTCGAAAAATATATAGGGTGTTCCATTGAAAGTAACGAAGTTGGTACCCTTTTCCTATCTCAGCGATATTCATTTGTTTCATTTGGTATGATTTACTGGATGTTCAAAACAAACCCTACAACTTTTGCATTCGAAATTTCTCTCTAACTTCAATGATGAACCCTCTAGAAGCTGTTTGAATATACGGAATGACCCTGTATGTAAACTATATGAAATTTTTGTATTTAAACTTTATGGTCTTCCATCGAGTAAACAACAAAGAAATCGTTCACCAATGTTCAACAATACATACATATCTACCAGAATTTCAGATAAAAATCTTCATCCAAAACAAGATGGCGGATGATGATGTTTTGAATCTCAACATAGGATCTTTTTTTTATCTTCAACTCTGTTGGTATCTATAGGCGTTTTCGGAAACTTACTCGGGTTGTTAGGATCCCTAACCTGAACGTTCGGTTACCCAAACCGAGTTACGTACCTCTGTTCGGAAACTTGAATGATGCTAACTCGATCACTGACTCGGGTTGATTTTTCGTGACCCTACTCAAAAGCGGGGTCGCCAGAGTTGCGAAGGACACCGCATGCGCATTACGGAATTTAAGTCAATGAAAAAACGCGGGAGTTTAAATTTGACGATAACAATAAAAATAAAATAATTTGCATGTTGGGAAAAATCACGACCGGTTATATACATGTTATTTTCAATCTTCATAATTTGATCACAGTAGATTTGATTAAAGTAATTCATTGAAACAAGAATTTGGGTAGGGGTGAAGTTTGTGGTTATGTGCAACAACACATATGAGACAAGTACACCAATCCACAGGTGAATATTAATATTTTGTAATCAGATCAAATAATTACTTGAATATAATGTTACCATTTTCGTCTGTCAAATTCATGAAACCACAGAAAAAATAAAATATTCAGTGTTCCTAACCTGACACGTTCGTAAACGTTGAACACGAGTAGATGATCCGAGTTTTCTGTCACGTGACCTATCTGGATCGAGTTATCAACCCAGAGTAAGTTTCCGAAAACGCCTTATAAAAGTTCTCTATCCCAAAACTGTCGAAGTAGAACTATCTTTAATAAAATATGATTCTCTACATTTTGCTGAGACTAAAATACTTGAAAGACATCTCGAATAAGGTGTTACTGACTACCATGTTATTTATTTTCATAGCTAACATCGAAGTTTATCATGGATATAAACCAAATTGAATGTATATCGAATCCATTTTTGAACTGTTTCTTGTTTATCATCGGATTCGGATATATCTGAATGCAAATCAATTCATCTCGATCATAATTATACTTCTCATAATTGATGTTATTATGTAATTTGCTTTTCAATTAATTTCTAGTCCAGTTTGTTATTAGATGTGTGTCAGGGATCATTTACCATCAAATCCAATATTTTGGTTAATCACATACACCATATAAAATTCGGTCTGATTCATGATTATTTACATAAGGTATTCTTGGAATTTACAAATATAGAACTTTGTGGGTATTTTCAGCAGCAATTCACTACTGTTCTTGCTTATGCAATGACACACTTAATTTCAAAAATATATCAAGCAATGGATAAAGGTAATCGATCCTTATGTATCTTCGTTGATCTGGCAAAAGCGTTCGACACTGTTTCTCATGAAAAATTGCTACGATTACTGGAGAATATTGGAATTCGAGGTAAAGCATTTGAATTGCTATCAAGCTATTTGTCGTACAAGAATCAGTCGGTGAGAATTGAAAATTCATTGATTAGTGAATACATAGTAAAATATGGAGTACCTCAAGGTACAGTACTAGGTCCACTTGCCTCCACCATATACCTCAATCAATTGTTTAGTCTCGAGATTCAAGGCGAAATTGTCAGCTTTGCTGACGATACGGTTATCTTCTACAAAAGTTCCTCTTGGGAAGAGTTGAAAACTATGGTGGAATATGATAAATTGTTTCGATTTCATGCTACTCAGCGACAATTTCAAAAAAAAAACCGTAATAGTTCCCTTCTGTAGCACAGCAAATACAATGCCTGAATTTGCGAGATTACACTTCATCATCTCTCATAACGAAACAATTGCTATATCAATGGAACAAAAAACTGAATATCTAGGTATAATCATTGATTGTCATCTGAGATGGGATCATCATGCTGCATTCGTGACAAAAAAGCTTAGAGGTCTTTACAGAAAAATATTTGATATGAGATTTCTGAAAATACTACATTCCTTTCTAGTATAAACACACATCACTTATGGTATACTCACGTGGAAAGGAATAAAAAATATTAAAATAATCATCTGAAGAAATTGGAAGTTACCCAGAAATGGCTGCTAAAAATAATTTTTCAAAACCATAAAGAGACCCTAGCAAACAACTTTTTAAGAAGCGATATCAGACAACTTTACTTTCAGTCCTCAATGATAAGACATCACAAATTCAAACATAAGGCTCAACAAATTTTACATAGACATACGAACTGTTTTACATTGTTGAAGAGGTAATTTTCAACAGAATCTTAGTGACAAGTACCATTTCGAACAAAATTAACTGTAGCAATAATCATTCCCAGGCCCCTCAAAGCAACCAAACTGAAAGACATAGAGCCAGATACTGAGAATTCGGAAAAAATAATGGACCCCTCCAAACTGCCATTGGCCACCCGCCTGAAGATGGAAGAGGCGATGAAGCTGATGAGAAAAGGCTCCTTGGACAACGACCACCAACACTCCATCCCCAGACTCTTCGGTGTCAAAAACAACTCTGACTACCCCACCATCTCTGACGTTTACCACACCATCAGCATCCCCAACAGACAGACAGCTGATAAAGTGAAGAGGCTTAGCGTACCCTTCATCCCAGAAGCCCAAAGGTTTGTAAAGCCATAGACTACAGAAGTACTAACTAACTATGTTAGACGGCTCACTCGGTCATTTTTCAACTTCTAAGAGATCTCGTCGCTTCCTCGCCATTTAAGTTATTTTTATTGTTCAACCGTGTTCAAAACGATATGAAATGAAGAATTTTCTTGTTTAAGTTATGACGTTACTAAGTAAAACGATTTATTCTGGTCCGAAAACTTCTAAATGAACAGTTCAAACCACGATTACGAGTGGAGGAGTTTGTCAAAATAAGTTAAAAGTTCCACTTGCTCCCACAGTTATTGTAATTTTATTTCATACTCCTCACAGATAATCGTTTATTCCAAGAATTATGAATTTCAGGTTATGTATAAAGCAATCATTGATTTTGACAGCTGTCATTTCAGAATGGTCTGTTTTCTTGAATGAAATAAATTTACTTCCTTAAATAAATTACTACGTCACGCTTGAATGTGGTTCAAAATCAATGTTGAACACGGTTTAACAAGAAAACACCACTTCTACACTTTCCGGCAAAAAAAACCAGCCAGCAAAAAATTTTGCCAAAATGATCGTCATTTTGGCGAAATTCGATCCGAATCGTAGAAATGCCAACCTTAATATAAATTTCCGAGAGAACTAACATTATACAGGAAAAGACAAAAGTTACTTCTTCAAGCTTAACTTCTCAACGCCTTTTGGCAAAAGTGAGCGATGAAACTTTGATTCCTCATGTTCTGGGTTGAAGTGTGATGCCTCCTCAACACCATGGTTGTCGATTCACGTCAATATCTTCTTTTGAACAGACGATCTTGTGTTTTAGGAAAGTATGGATATTTCAAATTTGCAGAACCCACATATTATGAACTTATCGATTAACAACTGGAGTAATTGATATCACTTATTTTCACCCGTTTTCTCAGCACTCACCAGCAAAAATGAACCTTAAAACCTGATAACAAATAAAAAGCTGTGCTCCTAGATGTAGTCAAAACAAGTATGTCCTCCTCAAAGTTGAATTACAGCATTCAACCGCCGTCGAGCATCGAGATGAACGAATTTCTCAAGCAGTCATCATCTCAAAGATGCTCTATAGATTCTGAATTATTGTTAATGAAGATTTTGAGAAATCCATACTTTCTTAAAACACTTTGTATCTTTTCTCAAAAATAAGAAATCGACATCAATCAAGAACTGATGTGTTGAGAAGGGACGAAAAGGGACCACATCTCGATCCAAATCATGATGAAGCTGAAGGGTGGAGAATGGTTTTGGAGTTTTTATTGTTGATGAAAAATGAAGAAAAATCCATACTTTCCTAAAACACTGACTTGTATCTTCTCTTGAAATGAAGATATTGACGTGAATGAAAAACCATTGTTAAGGGTGGAAGAGCCATCGTCAGCCGAATACAAGATGTTCGTTAGGGAAATGGAAAAGTTGAGAAATTTGATAATTTAGACAATAAAATGGGGCAAGACACAGACGTGTGAACCATGACTAGTTATATTTTCTTCGGAGGAGGTGACGCTTGTTGAATTGTAAATTATCAAATTCTTCAACTTTTCCATTTCCATAACTAGAATCTTTCATCTGATAATAGGCTTATATAATACAAGCCCAAAACATGTACCCCTTAGTGATTGATATCTCTGATCGTCAAATAAATGTTGTGAAGATGACTTTGGGTTTTTTCATCACTTGTAAACAAATAAGAAAAGTCGGGTTGTGTTTCAATATTGTGCCTCCAGGGTCGGTCATCTGACAGTTTTTGCACGCAACCCATACGACTTCACGTAATAACTTTGTTCAAAACTCCGGTTCATCACAGGTTCCAGAAGAAAATACCCCTGCTCGACATAGACCGAACCAAGCCGCTCGTCCTCCCGAAACGATCACGAACCACCTCGGAGACCAAAGACCCCCGCGAAGTAGTGAGGCCCCTCTACAGAGATGACATCTTCTTTGGCGCCAGCCTCGCCAGGCTACCCCAGTACACCTCCAGGACCTCCGTGGAGTACAACCTGGCGATAACGAGGCTGCCGACGAAAAACGACGTGGAAGAAGAGGTCGGGCCAGCGTGCCAACTGTGCCCCGAGGCCTTCAGACGGGTCCTGGGCACCATGCTGGACGTCAGCCTGATGAAGTCTCACTCCTTTCTGATCCTGGCAGTCGGGGGCTTCTTCACCATGATGGGGTTCTTCGTGCCTTACATGTACTTGGTAGACAGAGCGGGGAAGAGCGGGATAGACAATATGACGGCCGTTTGGCTGGTGGCTACTATCGGAATCGCTAATACCGTGGGGAGGATCATGTACGGGGTGATCACTTCGTTTCCTTGCGTTGATGCGCTGTTCGTTAATAATGTGGCGTTGACCATTGGAGGGTTGGCTACGATGTTCAGCGGGCTGTCGATGAGCGTGGAGTACCAGTTCGCGTACTGCGTGGTGTTCGGACTTTGCATATGTGAGTATCTCGAGTTCGTCTTGTTGTCTGTTCTGATATTATAAAGAACTAGACTAGAAGATTCAAAGATTGTTTTCACCATTAGAAGCAGACATACTCCTTGTTGAACATAGGCTACTTTCCTTGTTGATCATAGGATACTTTATACCGCGTGAAAATGCTTCATTCTCACGGCAAAATGGGTAATAGGACAAAGGGTAGTAAGAATCATCCTTCCGTACCTATCTTTTTCACCTAATCGGTCTGATTCACTAAGAGCGTGGGTATTTCAACAAATGTCATTTGGATGGTGGTAATATGAAGGTCAGTGGTTATTTGAACCACTCGAAGATTTTTTGATTCTCTGAGGCATAGCCCGATAATAAAATGAAATAAATGTTTTTTTACACTTTTTATAGTGGCAGATATCCACCATGAAGTGGCTAAGGTTTTTATTGAAAAATGTGGCACTATTTCAAGGAAATATCTGTATATGCTAGATGTTGCACAAGAGGTAATTCTACGGCCGTAAAGTATGAAATATCTACCTAATTATTTGTGGAAACAGAAAAATTACCTATTTCACTAGAAGGATAGCATCGAACAATAAAATTTTGAGGGATTCAACAAGACCATCCTTAAATTTCGAAAATTCTATAACATGCCAAAAGTATTGATTTCAGAGGTTTTGATACCATTAAGAGAACCACAGATGGAAGACGTTGGTTGCCTACTTTTTTTTACTACATGTAAAAGTCAATCTCAGTTGAGTTCTTGTAATTATATCAGTATAGAGTAGTGTACTCGAGAGTATTTATAGCTAACTTGTTGCTTTACTTGCACGAGGATCCTAACAGGGGGACTGATTCTAATGTATCAATGTCTCAACCAAGTGCTTATTGTAGCTTGTAGAGTATATCAATAATTAGGTTGAATTGACGTAAAAAAATGAAAAATATAGTAATAATCGATGAAATAATGTATAATAATAATAATAATAATAATATAAGTTTATTCAAAAACGTTTACAAAATATACATTGGAATAAACATAAAGGTAATTTGAATAAACTGGGAAAAACCTTACGAAGTTAACCTTGTAGTAAGGATAAAAAATAAATAAATGTACATAGGTCAAAAAATATTTAACAATATCAAGTTATCACAATTGAAAATTGTCTCATTTATTTATAACACTGAGTGGAAATGTAAAAAACTAACCACATTGATAGATGTTTTTATAGAATACCGAATATCAATACTGACAAATGTGGGGTACTCGAGAATATTTATAGCTAACTTGTTGCTCTACTTGCACGAGGATCCTAACAGGGGGACTGATTCTAATGTATCAATGTCTCAACCAAGTGCTTATTGTAGCTTGTAGAGTATATCAATAATTAGGTTGAATTGACGTAAAAAAATGAAAAATATAGTAATAATCTATGAAATAATGTATGAATGACTAACTTGACAGCTTTATTTATACCACTGAGTGGAAATGTAAAAAACTAACCACATTGATAGATGTTTTTATAGAATACCGAATATCAATACTGACAAATGTGGGGTGGTTAAGAAAGTTCTTAATAACATCGCTATACTAATTTAGCCACAATGTTAAACACTTCTTAGAGAATCGAACATGGGTATCTCGATGGTTTCCTGGATGATTTGAAAAAAACAATTGGACGCAGTAGGTGGCGCTTCTGTAGGTACGTCAACTACTAAACGGCTCGACCGATTGGGTTGAAATTTTTAATACACGAAAACAACAAAAAAAAAACGAAACAAAAGAAACTAAGAGAATAAAAATAGGTGTAAGTATTTGATAATATCTTCAGTTAAGCCCGAAACATTTGTAGAATAACAAAAAATATGTACTTACTGTAGATACGCGCATAGCTGAGAATGACTACAACAAATGTCTTATTTTTTTTAATGAGTACACCAACCATGCAGAGCCGGGCAGCTAGTAGGATCATATACATGTGAACTTTGTATCTAGTGCGCGAAATGCTATACTTTGGTGATCGAGATCTGATTTTTTTACCGAGGCGCAGCCCAGTTGAAAAAATAGTATTCCTATTATAATATCTATCCATTATTATTGCCAAACACTGTGTATATAAGCGATATGAGATTTCCTATCCAGGAACAAATCTCCGAACAAAGAGCTTCGAACAAGAATATTTCTGGTCCGAAAATCGAAATTCTGAATACTTGAAGAAGTGAACGAAACATTGCGAAACCATTTCATGAAATATGCTTGAGCGTTATGTAAATAAGATTGGAATGAATCCCGAAAATGTTCCGTCAAATTGGGAGCTTGGAAAATTGGTCCATATTCTGCAGAAGTTTATTTGTCACCCTGTATAGTCAGATATGTCACCATGTCATTGTATTCTCTATTATAGTTATTGGGACATTTTGGTAGGTACTTAATGAAAACAACGTCAGACGGTTTGAACTACTTGCTTTATTGATAGATATCTGAAGAGTGAGCATCCGACAGTTTAGCATACGGAACCAAAACAGAATTCATATTCATAAACATCAAACAGTGGCGTTACTTCTTTAATTCACTTTTTGGATATTTCTATTGAAATCCAACACTTCCCCTCAAAAAGTGGAGAATAGTAAGAAAATGATTATCTATACATTCATAGATATGATATAACAATAAAATATAATACATATAGTATATATGACAATTTCATAAATTATATGCTTTATCTTCATTAACTTCAAAGCAGTTCCCGCCTTAAAAAAAATAACTGGTCACCCTTTTTTTTTTTTAGATCAGATATTTCAGTGATATCTTATTCATTTCTTCTATATATATATATATATATATATATATATATGATCTTTAGTGAAATGATACTTGATATCAATATGCCTTGACTTTTTATAATGCGACATATTCTATTTCCTCCAGTTTTGTCTTCAAAGATTATGATGGGTTTTTGTTGGATTCACATTTATTTACTAGTTCAATTTTGAGCCATATAGTTTTTTTTTTCTTAATTTCCTCAGAGAGTGCTATATTTTGGCTTCTGTTAACTACATTGCAATAGCATGTTGTCGTCTAGTATTTCATGTGATTATGCGATTTCAAAAACAAATTGAAATATATACCCATTTTTAATTATTATCAAATCTGCATTTGTATAGCCAATTGACATATTTTCCTACTCACTTATATATCGTTCAAAACATACTTACGTGAGTTTTGAATACAAAGTACTTATTCACATAATATATATCATATATCGTTACCTCCATACCCCCTTTTTGAAAATTTCCACCATTCTTCTGAAAACTCACTTTGGTATCTACTCAAAATTATAATTGAGGAACAAAGATTCGTCTATGATTATAACATCACTTTAGTATTTTCACAAAGTGCATTATCTTTTCATTATTCAAGATTTTATTGCAGTGTGATCTGATTTCATTGATGATGCTGTAATTACTCGTTTTCAATCATTCTATCATTCATGTAAAATGTCTGTAAGAAATTTTTCTTTCAAGTATGAGGACTGTTTGTTTCAACATTTAAATCAATGTCCAGTTACTGCACAACAAACAAGAAGATACTTTTGTCAGTCATACGATGAACTGATATTCTTCATACAGGGTGTAAAAAAAATTCTAAACTATAACATAAAAATAATATTCCTTTTCAGAATAAGGAGATACTGATTGAATCAGGATAACTATATTATAATATTTTCATGAAACCAGTTTTCTGCTTAAGAATTTTGAAACTCTTCTACTTGATAATTGATTATTGAAACAAAAAGTTCATTCTAGCAACGAGATGATTTCTCATCATAAAGACGATTATTCATTCAATTTACATGCACTTGATTCTTTGTGACCTCAATAACACCTCATATATTCATCTATATAATATTCCCTTTTAGAATGCTTTCTTGGCAAATTTCTGATGGATCATTATTAAAATTGATTCTCAATTACCAAAATAAATAGAAAAATGTGAATGTTCGGCCATTGCGAGTATAATTCATTTGTTTATTTTGTTTTATTATCAGCTCTTATTCTCAGTGTGACAAGCCTGGCCTCATAATTTGGAAGATTTACCAATTCATCAGTTTTTATCATGAATATCGCCACCAATATATTTTTATTCAAGGGTTTTTGGTAGGTACTAAGTTTCATGATTAGAATTGAATCAAGTTTGCCCTAACGACCACTCGTTCTATATTTCCACCTTTCTGAAAATCTAGAAAGTGAACTCTCAATGATAATTGTCTAGATAAGGAAACTGGAAACGATTTCTAATCACAGCACTCATTTCTTATATGTATATCATTATTTGTGTTCCGATTTCAGCAAGAAATTTTGTTTATGTTCGAGAACTTTTACTATCAACCATCGGTCCTTTCAGAGAATATTTATTGTTTATTCTTTTCGAGGAGCTTGCTCTTCAAACCTTGAAGTTTATTTCTTAAATAACAATATCACGTGTATTCAGATATAGACTTCTCGGTTTGAATGTCCCATATTTTATACCGCTAGTTCATTCACCCTACAAGAATTCTTTTGACTAGCTTATCGTTAAGTTTACTAGTTTTTGTTTTCAAATGAATTCTTTTGAGTAGAACGTAGAACTAAAAACCTTTAGGGGGTTTTCTGGGCTTTTTATATTGCCACAGTTCATACAGAGTTTTCGAACTTTCTACAGCTTCAGAGGGCCTTGTATTTTAAATGAAATAAATTCACTGTTATCACAGCTTCACCTCATAACTGTTTTTCTGAAATTCGCTACGTTTTTCATTGCACGAGCTTTTTCAGTCTTAGTCCGTTTTACTCCGTTTCGTTGCGGTTAATAGGGTACTGCATTCAATGATTGTTAATTATTCTCTTTTCTGAACAACAAAATTCGCTTGACTGGTATTTATATGACCATAGTCAAATTGACAAGTTTCAATGAATTAATATCTGTTTTACTTTCTCACTCAAACTCAAGACTTCTGATTTGAGTTAACTAACATGTAGATGTACAGTCAGATACACATAAAATGTCGCACATGGGCAGCGACAGCACACCTAGTCACTTCTGTAATAAGAGCGCTAACATACCATCCAAACGCGACATGTCATTTCCTGTACCTGACTCTACCTACACAATGAGTAATCGTGTACTGAGTATGTATGTATTGTTTATATATATATATATAGTATTGTGTGAGCTATAGAGAAAGGTCATTTTACATGTTTCTCTTTTTATTCTTTGGAAGTCTCACTTGCTTCATATATACAAGGTTCAAAAAAAAAAGAATTTAATCACGAAGCTTGAAGTCCTCAAGAACACTAACAGCTCAATATAGTTTTTTTTAATTTTATTCAATTAAACCTGATCGTGTGCTTGAACCTGTTTGAGGCATTCTTTGTAATTATTAGTTCAATTGATTAGTACAATTTACTTCGACTTTCATTAACCATCATGTTTTGTACCTTTCTCAATGTCACATTAAATGAACCATTCAAAGCTTGTAAGAATAGATTGTATAATAACATTTTTGAGTTTGTTCAATGCTAACATTATAGAATGGTTTATTTATTACTGTTTTTAGTCAATTGAATTCCTTTTGAGTAAGTCAAAGGTCTACGTGTATAAAATGGTTTCGTAATTACCATTTTGAGACATAAGGTTAAGAGCTTACCTCATAGAATGGCTCATTTTACCATTTTAAATTTTCATACCATACCATACCCTTATTGTTTTGCATACGCCCAACTGACGCGACAGTGGAACATGGCAGCATCAGAAGCTTACAGCACTGTATTTCTGATATTTCAAGGTTTGGCAATGTTCCACCAAGGTGGCAGTGCTTGATTCTTAGTTTTGTTCATTTATTTTGTTCATCTGTGTCCTTATGACTCCATTTAGTTGGTTATATTCTTCTTGTTATAATATTCAAACCATCAGTATATACTTCAGTGTTTACTCCTGTTGAATGAGTTGGTGTATAGATTTGTGGCTTCAATCCGTCTTGTATCCCTTTGTGATAATACCCATTCGGCTTGTCATGAATATTTCATTTACAATGACCACATATCACATATGGGAACTTGCTTATTGAGACTCAACACAAACTTTCTTCGGTAACACCAAATTAGTTTACCTTTTTGCACTATGTGGTGTAAAAGTCGTTAGGTCGACAAATGCTAATATCAAATATCAATATAATTTCAATGCAATGGCAACCTTGTAGTGAGCGGCGATCTCTTTGTTAAACATTCTTTATTATAGGGGAAAGCTCCTTCTGATAGCAGATCAGCAATCAAAGTATAACTTCACTTCGTAACATCCAAGTCAAGAGCTGCTGATTTGGAGTTAAAATATAGTTGTGTTGCTTGAATGAGTCGTTCATGAATTGCGTCCAGATTTCTTGGAAATTGAATTTCATTTTATTTCACCATGGTATTGTCTCATCAATGTTTGCCACTTATCGGTTATATCATGCGGAATATTATTGTTTATAATATGGAGCACCTTGGGATCAGTTACTAATGATTTCACTGAACATTCCACTCGAAACGGTGTACTTTCTTTACACTACCGAACGGTTGATTTATCTCCATAATACCTCTATAGTAATAGGTATGTTTATAGTTTTCGCACTAGTATAACACTACCATGATTTCAACTTAATGTGAGTGTACCTGGGCACCATAACCTATTATAGTTATTTTGACATTGACATTTTGGTAGGTACTTAATGAAAACAACGTCAGACGGTTTGAACTACTTGCTTTATTGATAGATATCTGAAGAGTGAGCATCCGACAGTTTAGCATACGGAACCAAAACAGAATTCATATTCATAAACATCAAACAGTGGCGTTACTTCTTTAATTCACTTTTTGGATATTTCTATTGAAATCCAACATTCTCATCAGTGGTCCATCTGTCCTTTAACCAATGGATGATTCTTCAAAATAAACGAACCGCATCCGAGTGTGATTCTTATATTACTGTCTTCTTCATTATGTCGAATATATTCACCATGTTCCCTGCTATTTACAAATGTTGATTCTTGGGAATAATGGAGTTGATTGATTGATATATAGAAATATCATTGCAATAATACACTCAGTTCCAAAAAAAGTGACGCACTTAAAAAAAATAGTAGGCCTATTATATTTTCTTTTTATTTGTTGGTAGGTAATGCATTTGTCTTTAAAAAAAAATAAAGAGGTGAAAATTTGTTCAAAGCCTCCTTGATGATGGTGGGATAACTCGAACCATGATTTATTCTTAATTTTTGATTCACCCTGTGTGTTAATTGAGTAATGGCATAGAAAGTGCTTACACCCTATACGAAAGAGGCTTCTTTTGCAAGCATTTTGTTTTTTCATTCATTGATTTATCTCTAAAATCTTTCGAATTACAGCTTTTTTGCTGATACCTTACGCTTATCCCACAAATTGAATTTATTGAAGGATCAGAGTACTCAAAATTGATTGCGTTGTACTCTGGTAGGATCACATTGTCTTTAAAAAGACAAATGCCGTTGCCATAGCAACTAATTTGTTGTATGCCTCCATATTTGACCATTTGTCGTTGTGTCATTGATTAAGTGTCTTGTTTTATTGACTAAAATTACATAAAATGCTTCAAATAATTCCTGAACAAGTAGCAAGATTAGTTGCGTTAGTAAACGATGGGCGTAGTAAACGTTACGCCGCTCGTGCAGTGGGAGTTCATGAAGCAACTGCTCGTAGAGCAATCCGCAAGTACGAACAAACAGGAAGCACCGCTTGGAGGGTCGGTTCTGGTCGCCCCCGAAAAACTTCTCCAAGAGATGATCGCTTCTTGAGATTGCGGATTTTACGGAATCGATCAAATACTGCGATAAATGTTCAGCAAGATCTTCGCCAAATTCATGATGTTGCAGTAAGTAAGCAGACGGTATGTAGACGTCTAAAAGAAGTTAATTTTAAAGCTAGGAGACCTGCAAAAGGTCCCAAATTATTGCCCAAACATTGTGCTGCTAGAAGAAATTTTGTTGAAAATTATGGACAGTGGAATATTCCTGAATGGTCGAATGTCTTGTTTACGGATGAGTCAAGGTTTTGCCTTAACATGGTGGATGGAAGAAAAAGAGTGTGGAGAAGAACTGGTGAACGGTTTAATCAAAATTCAATAACAGAATGCGAAAGTTTTAATAAGGGGTCCGTTATGATGTGGGGAGGGATTTCAATGAATAGAAAGACACCTCTTCATGTTTTTCCGGTGAGGCAGTCGATGAATGCCCAAATTACAATACATTGAAATTTTAGAGCAGTATGTCTTACCTTATGCAGAGTTAGTGGGCAAAGATTTTATATTGATGCAGGATAATGCCCGACCACACACCGCAGCGATAGTGCGAAACTTCTCAGAGCTACTGGTATTACCACATTACAATGGCCTGCGAGAAGCCCCGATATGAATCCTATAGAACATTTGTGGGATAAATTAGGGAGAAGGGTACGTTCTCGCGAGAGGTCTCCGTAAAGTCTCGCAGAAATAGCAGATGCATTAGTGGAAGAATGGGATCGTATATACCAATGGAAACGATAAGCAACTAATTTTCCAGTATGCCTCGTAGATTAGAAGTTCTTAGAGTTGCTAGAGGAGGTAATACACAGTATTAAGCAGTCATCCCAATTTATAATTTTGTGCTAAATAAAAATGTTTTTTGAAATTATTGGTACCAGTTTATTTCATTAAAAAATTGTTTCTCGATAAATTCAAAAAGTTGGTACTCTGCAAGGATTCAGCAAAAAAAGCTGTAATTCGGGATTTAAAGATAAATCAATGAATAAAAACAAAATGCTCGCAAAAGAAGTCTCTTTCGTATAGGGTGTAAGCACTTTCTATGCCATTACTCAATTAACACACAAGGTGAGTCAAAAATTGAGAATAAATCATGGTTCGAGTTATTCCACCACCATCAAGTAGGCTTTGAAAACATTCTCACCTCTTTATTTTTTTTGAAGACAAATGCATTAACTACCAACAAATAAAAAAAAATAAAAATCGACATACATTTTTTTTTTTAGAAGGTAGGTCAAATATCAAGTGCGTCACTTTTTTGGAACTGAGTGTATGTTGCCAGTAGATTTCACCCAATCGTAAAAATCGTGTGTTTCACCTTGAAATATACCCTGTATATCATATGATTTTTATGAATGAGATACCGGTACAACAGAATCACTCTGTATATGATTCTGTTCATTCAGACCAAGAAGATGATGATTATTTGGAGACTCAAACAAGTTCTTTTACCAGGAAGTATAGTTAACATAACAAAAATAATACATTGATTGCAAATTTTTAAGAATAATTCATAAACTGTGTAATATTATTCGAATTCATTGAATATCAAATGTGTAAAAATATATCTCAAATCGTTAAACTTAATATCAATATTGATAGAAAATATAATACAAATACAAATTAATTTTTTTATTTCATCCAGGTAGGTATGATGAGTTCTTTTTCAATTCATTTTGGAATTTCGATATATTCATGCAATCTGTTATATTTTTGAGCAATTTATTATATTAGAATGGAGCAGAAGGTGAAATAATTTATGGTGTCTCGTTTTAATGATCAATAATTTTAAATAGTTTCTTATTGATACAAAACTTGGTTTCAATTTTTCATTCCCAATATATTAAATTTTCATGTCAATGAAAACGTTTCTCTGATTTGTTTGTGAATACTGTACTTATGGTCTATTGATCAACTGAGGGTTTGAAATAACATATTAAGGACATACATTTTTGACATCAATAATCAGATAGATATAGTCAAACCAAACATATCTATGACCTATAAAATAAATTCCCCTAATATATTTTCAGCATGTTTCGCATCTCTAAGATCCATCATCGTCGTCGATCTATTGGGCTTGGAAAATCTGACGAACGCCTTCGGCCTCCTTCTTCTGTTCCAAGGAATCGCCGCAATAATCGGCGCCCCATTAGCAGGCGCCTTCATGCAGGCCACCGGAAGTCACAACGCGTGTTTCTACTTGTCCGGTGGCATGATTTTTCTCTCTGCCGTCATGTGTTATCCTCTGAACTGGGTGAACAGGCGAGAAAAGAAAAGGAACGAGATCAGGACCCGAGAGGAGCGCTCAGCGTAAATAATCTGGATACGTCCACACACTGGTGATAATGTAAAATAATGTTACATCAATGTCACATCAATGTTACATCAATGTGACATCAATGTTACATAAACGTTACATCAATGTGACATCAATGTTACATCAATGTTACAGTAATGTTACATCAACCTTACATCAAAGTTTTAATCAATGATACCTATTTATCAAATCAATGTTACAACAATGCCATATTGATGTTAGATATTATGTTACGATTTTACATGACTGTGATGTATCATATATAATATTTAGCAAGGAACCGAATGAATGAAGTCGATATCGCTAATTCATTGCAACATGCATTGACTAATATTTATTTTGGTTTCAGCCGGACAAGAGCAATTACTGCTATTCCTGGTGCTGATGTACTAGTCAATGTCAGAATGACACATCATTGTGATATTATGATATTGATACTAGATAATCATACGATATATTTATTCGGCAGAGATTTAACCTTACTGTAACAATGTCACAGCAATGTGATATTGTGACCTGAACATCATTGTGATGTAAATCGAATATTTAGAACCGGCCGTATGATTTTTGATTTTTTAATTACATTCTTCTTGTAATTTTTGAATCGCTGCATAATTTCAACATCTTATGCAGGTATTCGATATTGATGTCAATGTAACATGAACATATCGTGAATAATAATTGTTTTATTATTCAAATATCCATTTCTCACCTCGACATTTTTAATGAATATTTTGTAAATAGAAAAAAATTACGTACCTATATAATGCGAATATCGACTAGCTCAATAATTAACGACAATATTTCGAAATAATGACATTTTTGTTTTATCAATAATTTATCGAATACCTCGTTGTATATATAGGTTCAGATTTTTATTAGCCAAATTTTAAATGTTAGGTCAATAAAAGACTGATATAGTATAAGTTATTAGGATAATAGTTTTGCCATTATATGTTAAAGTTATATTATATACCATATACCTAACTGAATAATTATATTTATAATTGATGACAATTAAAGTAAGAATATTACAGGTGCATACTATTATTTAATTCCCATAACTACCTGAAACTAATTGAATTTTGAAACTCGTGTTAGAATGAAGGTCAAGTTATCTTGAATAATTCGAAAATCAGGCTACAACGCAAAAAAAATTTGGTTTGCGAAATTGAACATCATATTAACACTTCCTATAAAAATGGTTCTTTCATTTTTTGTCTACAGCGATTTGGTTCCTGAGATACATGAGATCAAGAAATACGAGAAGTATCAAAAATATTGTTTAATGGTTATGGAATTGCATGGTGTTAAACGTGAAAGAAACAGAAGAAATACATTTCACATCAAAAATTGAACATATTGATTGATTGATTGATTGTCTTTATTACCCCAAGAAACATTTCTGTTCATGATAGGGATACATAAGGACATATAAAAAAATAATGAAGGGTTAACTAATGTATATTCCACTCAGTGGAAACGAATTAATATTGTTTCTTAAGATTAAAGTTATATTTCATTTCTAAGTAATCAAATCATGCCTCATATTTTCCATTCAAATTGTCCTGAGCAAGTATTTTTTAAGATTGATTTTGAACCTTCTTGCATCATGTATATTTTCCAACTCATTCGGTAATGAATTGTATTGTGCCCCCGAACCCTCAACAGAACGAAAAAAAAAACTGCAAACGACTTTGATTGTTAGCAAGAGGTGCACACTAAAATCGACCGATCTGAGCATTTTTTCGTATCTACGCTATTATCACTCAAAATCTGCCTGTCAAGTTGAAAATGGGCCATTCTGTATGATGAAAAGGTTATTAAATAATTAACATGAATAGGTACGTGACCAACATATCAACATGAGGGAGGAAGAAACCTGCAGAACACGATAACTCTGATATCTTGGACCTATGGATGATATGGAGGGAATCCGAAAGAATTTTTTCAGATATCATATATAAAACAAGCAAAATTTGGAAAGAAATGTAGTGAGAAAAAAGGTAGACAAAGTAGATATTGAAATATTGTCAGTGGCGTACTCAAAAAAAAATCTCTATGGATTTTCTCCAATCAGAAGGCTAAACTTGTATCTTCCTGTATATCGATTGAACTGATGAGACCTGTTATCTATGCACACTTTTTATAGTTGACTGCCTTCCAAATTTCAGAGCATTATTACCTTTCAAGGATTTTGAAATATTCAATGAAATCTGAAAAAAAAATCCATTCATCGCCCTCTCACGGCCCAACGGCGCATTTTGGTACAGAGGTAAGTTGGTCCCAATCGACCTATTTTGAATTCTGGTTCAGCCTGTTGAATTATCAGGATATAATCGAAATTCAACGGTATTATGAGATTTTCATTATTATGAGTCATGGAATGAACCAATATTCCATTGTAAAACTCACGCACAAGTATCCATGAAATCATTATGAAATGATTATCGAAGAATTGTCTCAAATTGCTGAAATCCAGTTCCTGAAAAATTCTTAATTTATGGTATCAAGCCCATATTATATTGTATTTTATTGTTACAATAAGGATGCTTGCTGTTTTTGCCATCACTGTTACGATGTATCCGGTATACGAATTCTTTAATTCAAACCATAATTCTCATATGTTCGTGCGTGGAGTTGGCAAGTAAAAGGTTCGATTCACTCTGGACGCCATTCTTAGAACGTGAAATTGAATTTTTCGCGTCAAATAATGGAAATCAAATAAGTTATTGATTGTTTCAAAAAGAATTACATTTGAATGGTACTCTCTTCGAGTTTGTAGACTGATGAATAAATGATGTCTCTCAAGTAAATATTCATTTTTATTTTGGAAGAAATGAGTTTCCACAGATTCACCGAACTAAATCATGAAATTCTTTTGGGTTCCAACTCGGGTTCCAAGGAAAAACTATTCCACTACTTCTGGTTTCATATGACGAAATACAATGTTTGACCTCCAACGACCTGTCAAATGACGTAATTCTGGAATGATTCATATGGTGTTTCAAATGGATTTATGTGGAATTTCTCCATGTGGATTCACGAGTTTCGACTGGAAAACATGCCTGATCTGAAATAAATCAGACAAATTTGTGTAAGACATATATACCTACGTTCTAAGAATTGAGAATTTTGAGAAAACTATATACCTATACTGTATGATCTTCAAAAAAACTTTTTTTTTGGTCAATTTGAGGCTATATGTTGAGAATTCACAGATTATTTTCAGACAAAATTAGTCACCTGAAATGTATCTGATATAAGTTTGTATGAGATGTAAGTATATATTTTCTGAGGCTCTCAAAGAATCAAGGCAATAATGTTCTGATCATCGTATCTTATGAGTAAAGTTCGAGTCAGAATTCATAAGTGTTGATGAGAATAGACAGTCCTGATGACTACCGTCAAGTTGGGTGACTTGAGACAGTTTCAAAATTCAAAGGACTGTAAAATTGTATTCCAGCAAATTAAAATTATGAAACAAGGACACATTTTTGAGTCTACATACATTCTTCGAAATTGAATAATGAAAATGAGCTAAAATTTATCAGAAAATATTTTTTTTGTTTTTTTGGGTGTCTCAAGTCACCTTCACAGGGGCGGTGACTTGAGACAGTAATTTGTTTTCATTATAAACTCAAGACGGACACCGTCAATTGGCGGACTTGAGACATTATATAATAGTCTTTTTAAAAACGTAATAGAACATATTGTTTCATAAACACAGCTCTTATTTGGAAAAGTATATTTATTTTAAGCATTTTACATTTTTAAAACAAAACTGAAGTTTTAATCCTTAAAAAAATGAGTAGGAACTTCAAAAACTTTGGTAGAAACTAATCTAAATAAAGCATAACTCTTAAAAAACAAATAAAAAACTCATTTTAACGAAAAAAAAATGTTTTAAACAATTCCCATATAGCACATGTACGTCCAATGAATGTCCAACGGATGTACAACATGGACGTAGTGGACTTCCATTGAACGTCCAGTCATGTACATTGGAACGTCCAGGAAACGTCCACAGCTCACTGGATTTAACATCTTATGGACGTACATTCAGGATGTTCAATGGACGTACATTCAGGATGTCTGATGGACGTACATTCAAGATGTCTAATGGACGTACATTCAGGATGTTCAATGGACGTACATTGAGGATGTTCAATGGACGTACATTCAGGATGTCTAATGGACATACATTCAGGATGTACAGTGGACGTACATTCAGGATGTTCAATGAACGTACATTCAGGATGTCCAATGGACGTAAATTCAGGATGTCCAATGGACGTAAATTGAAAGCAGTCAGTGGATGTCCATCAGAGACGTCCAATGGACGTACGGATGTTCAATGGACATGAACTGAAAGCAGTCCATGAATATCCAAACAAAGAATCCATACTCATATAGAAAATTATTTATTAAAAAAATATCTGTAAGGTACAGTGTAATATCATTCAATATAGATACAACATATGCTTGGAATTTATTGCATGAATTTCGTCATTCTGCTCTTGTCCAGCCATCATAATTAGGATGATGTAATATTTTTCGACTCACGACATTTATGAAAGATTCGAGTAATCAAAACATACTATCTGAAGAAGCATTAATTCGAAAAACTGACAAGATATAGTTATCCTGATTTTTTGAGGACAAAATTCGATAAAAATGAAACTGAAAAGGTGAAGCTATAATATTACCTATATATGAAGAGAAGAATAATAAAATTGTATACTTGTATAATTGGATACTCACCACAGTTCAGTTCAAATTCTACATAAACGTCCATACAGTGACTATCTGAACCCCAATGATTACTCCTCTTCAGAACCACATTATGAATATATATTCAATACATATAGTCCTTACATGGACATCCATTGGACGTAACCCGATTGGACGTCGAACTTCCGGATGACCAAGCCATTATAAGTCTCTTGTATATTGTATGACTTCTGAATATAGGCAGAGGCTGGATATTTCCCTGATTTGATTTCTCAAACATAGTAGAGATGATATCGTGCTTTTCTCACTATGTTTTTCATAAAAATTATGGATTTATATTTTCTCCAGTCACCTCGCTTCTTCTTTCTGTTAAAAGAGACAAACAAAGTATTACTCATAGTATTCTGTAGTCGAGGATTAGTGTATAAATCAACTGTCTAAGTCCTATATTCAGCAATTCAGCTCAACTTCAACTAGTGCTATACTAATTTGAAGCTCTATTTCTGATATCATATGAAATTCAAGTCGTCCATACCGGAAAAATCACAAGCTCTTAGGTTACCCACAGAATATCATGGAATACCTATTCCGCATTACCTACAACGCCCCAAACCATTATCAGAGCACATTTATCATGTGAAATAAATAGTTATATGAAAAGGAATATCGGAACATATGCTACGTACATACAAAATTTTCTCTTTCAAGGTTGCAATGATAATCGGAATATATGGTGCATGTAGGAATAAGTCTGAATTGACCTTTTTGAGAATTGAAGATGTTGTAAATGAACATTCATATTTTCGAGTCAATATTCCGATGACCAAGACCAAAGTTGTACGAGAGTTTATCATCACAATGGGCGACATTGATGGATTGAATTTGGTCGAGATATTGAGAAAATATATGAAGTTACGTCCACAAAATGTAAAACATAACAGATTTTTTGTCAAATATAATAGTGGAAAATGTGGTGTTCAGCCGGTTGGGATCAACACTTTCGGTAATCTTCCTAAGACGATTGCTCGATTTATTGGGTTGCCAAATTCTGTCTTATTCACTGGTCACTGCTTTCGAAGATCTTCGGCAACTTTGCTTGCAGATTCAGGTGCCGATTTGACGAGAATTGAAAGACACGGAGGTTGGAAGTCCAGTTCAGTAGCTGAAGGATATGTGGAAAATTCCTTACAAAACAAGAAAAAGACAGCCACGGATATTCTTGGCCAAACTAATAATCAAATCACAACCAGTTCCACGAGTTCAACTTCTCTTACATCGGGAATTAATATTTCTA